CCCCAAAACCCCAAAACCCCAAAACCCCAAAACCCCAAGGCTGTAGTTTATAATTAAAAATAAAGATGAATATTTACGAGCAAAAGGATTCGTCCCAAAACATTGGGTCTATGTCTGTCAGACAGCAGATGTTATTTTTGCTACAGAAAACAAAGAATGAAGCTGATTGGGACCTCTCTGATGACCCAGATAACCAAAATATGAGTGTAGGTGAAGCAGGAAGCCAGACAAATCAAAATGAGGATCTTGTGATAAAGAATTACAATGATGAGTTTGAAGAGATGAGGAAATAAAGAGGTAAGCTCTTCAATATCATATCCTATAGAGAAAGTATGAACTCGAGAATAAACCTATGAGATATCGGCTCATGGCTGATTCCTTACATCAATATACTCCGATAAAAAGAAACAAGTTTGTGGATAGAAAGAGAAACTTGATGTCTGAGAAAGACGATTCTTTATGTGCATGTCAGCCCCCTACTAAGAGAAATAACAAATAAAAAGAAGAAAGGCAATGATAATAATCAAGTGTCTTTTGAATGTATGAACAAGTGTATTAACCGCTGTGTATCTACAGAATGCTATGTAAGAACCTGACCTTCTGAAAATTACTGCCGAAACCGTTGTTTTCAATTGTATCAATATGCAAATGTCTACCCTGTGAAAACAGATCACAAAGGATGGGGGCTATGCGCTGGTGAAAAGATTAAGAAAGAAACCTTCGTCATGCAGTATGTTGGTGAAGTCTTTTCCACAGATTCCGAATTTGGTAAAAAGAGAATGGAACAGTACAATAAATCAAATGTCTCATATCTCATGAAATCAGGAGGAAATGAAGTTATTGATGCTACTTACTACGGAAATGCAGCCAGATTTATTAATCACTCTTGTGAGCCAAACTGAGAAACTCAGAAATGGAACGTTCTTGGAGAAATCTGAGTAGGAATATTCACCCTCAGAGATATTGAAGAAGGAGAAGAACTTAACTTTGACTATCAATTTGATTGCTACAACACCCCATATTCGAGATGATACTGTGGAACTGAGAAATGTAAAGGATTCTTAGGAATTCGACCAATGAACAAAGACCAAGAGAAAGAATTAGAAGATAATCTTGCGTGTAAAATTTGTAAAAAGGTAAAAGATAACGATATTCTGCCTGATGGTACTAAAGGAATCGAAAGAGTGAATAAGTTTACGTATCAAAAATCAAACAGAATCGAAAACCCAATGTACATCATCTGTAATGGCTGCAAATATTCGTTCCATCTGCAATGAATCAAACCGAAAATTACTAGAAAAAGACTACAGAACCCAGACTTTGAATTCTTCTGAAAGTCATGAGAGAAGGAGTTAAAGGGGACTAAGAAAAGAGGAAGAAAGAGAAAGAGGCAGATTAACGAAAACTCTGAAGAATATCAACCATCCAAAATAGATAACACCAGTGATAGAGAAATAGATTTTGATAGTGACCAAGGCGTGGTCAGGATAAAAATGGATGAAGACTCTCCTAAGATCCAGACCCAAAATAAGCGTAAGAAATAAGAAGTATAAAGTTGTTATAAACCCTGCTATCTTAGTCGATGATACCATGCGCGGAGAGATTGATAGGACGAATACTATCGTGGTGTCGGAAAGCGGGAAGGATAGTAGCAGTGAAGAAGAGAGAATAGAGAAGGATGTTACCATGAAGGAAGAAGATAATAAGGTAGTCATAAAGAATACAGATGGATCGCCTCTGGTTCAAGAGAAGGGTTCAAATAAGATATTTGAAACTGATTGATACCTTAGCCCAAGGTATTGACAGATTTTGGATCGACTTATACATGCAGAATTCGCGGCTTTAGAGAAAGAAACTGAGGAATTTGATGCTAAGTGGGAGAGACAAAAATAAAATCAAACCTAAAGCAAAGATCTTTAAAAGGTACTTTAACTTTAGCTACCTCCTTGCTAAAAGACTAAAGGCTAAGATTAGTTCTCGAAAGTTTAAATATATGTCACTCGAGAAGGAAAATGACAATGTCTCTCAAAATATGTTGGATTCAGAAAGAGATAGCAACTTTGATGATGTTACAACCTCCCCACTAAAGAAGGTAAACTCTACTATTCTCTCAGAACCAGAAAAGCTTAAAAAGAAGGCTCTCTCAATGTGCTCACCTAAGATCACCGGAAAAAGAGGTCGAAGAAGTAAAAGGAAGATTCTGGATAATAACAATAGTCTAGAAAAGATTAAAGAAGAATCTAATGAAGAGACTATCAAAGAAGAAGTTCCTCAACAGAGTCAGAAGCAAAGATTCGACCTTGGTGACTCCAGTCTTTACGATCAAGACGATGGAATAGACGAACCTCAAGAAATAATCAACTTAAGAAATATGAATCCAGAGTTAAAGAAAGAAGATAGCTTTATTGCAAGCCAGATTGGAGCCCGTAAAGATTCCAATATTGACATAAATATGGACGAAGCGAACCCCATGGAAGATGAAGTGCAGAGAATGTTCATGGACAAGAAAGTATCAGATAACGACTTCTTCAGAAGACAGTCTAGTATCTCAGACTTTAGATTCTTAAGAAAAGATAGTTTTGTTTCTAGAAACAGTGATGTGAACAACCAGCTTGATAATCAAATTGACAATAGATTTGATAACCAGCTAGATAATCAGGTTGAGAACCAGCCAGATAACCGACTAGATAATCAACTAGACAATCAGTTTACGAGTAAGATCCATAATCAGGTTCCAATCCAGCTTGAGAATCAAAATGTAAGTCTTGCGGTTCTAAATATTAGATTGATATGGATGACATTCTGAATGAGGATGATCAAGACTCCGAAGATTTCCCCATAGAAGATATTAAAATAGAGAACACAAGATCTCTGAGCATGAAAGTAATCCCTTCACTTGGGAGAAATCTTCTCGACAACAAACCCAACAGAGAGATAGATACTAAAGAAGAATTCACATTCAAAAATGATAAGAAGAGTGTCAGCCATCTTGATAAACACTCTTCAAGTAACAGCTCTATGAAAGTAGATAGTGAGTCTTCCTCTTCTAACAAGGAAGAATCAAATGATGATGTTCAAGAGCATGATTCCGACCATTCTGATGAGAGTGATCTTTTAAAAGAAGAGGTTAAACTAACACCCCAGAAAAAGAACAGGAGTGGGTTAAGAAAAGCTAATACTGAAATACTCCCTCCTATAAGAAACCAGCCAGCTTCTCAGAACATTAAAGAAAGCATTATTAAGGACCAAGGAAAAGAGGATACTTCAATGCCTTTTAAGAATATCGACTTGAAAGACCTGGATGATATTCAAATTCCCATGAAAAAGAGCATCAGTGGGATGCATATCAATTCCAAAAAGAATGATGAACTCGACAAATTGGTTAAAGAGCATAAAGATATTGATGAGATCAGAGACAAAAAGAACAAGAAAGATATTATGAAGCATTTCAATATGATCAAAGTCAAGACTTATAGCCAGCAAGATCCTTTGTTAAATGGCCAAGCAAATAAACCTGATAGTAAAGTCAAGTGTGTCCTCCATCTGACTGAATCAGAGCTTAAGATTATCCGAAAGAATAGAAATTTACTCTTAGACCTTGGAGCAATGCTGTTCTGGGACCACAAATACGATAACATTCGTGGAGATCATGCTTACTTTCATCATAATGAAAGCATAAATGAGAAGAAGGTCGAATTTCAAATAAGTGGAAGCTATACAGAAGTTGAGAGAACCAAAGAAGCGTCTATTTACCTTCTCAATTATGAGCGTAAAATTGAGAAAGAGCAAATTGTTGTTATTGAAATTGACATGTGGGTTCCTAAAATTCTCATCAGAAAAGTCATAGGATATCAAGAAAAGCATGTTATCGAGTACTACAAGAAATTTGATGTTACAATCTCTTATGACTCTAACCTAATCAATGATGAGTCTTACCCAATTCAAGAGGATACTATGATCACAATTAAAGGAAAGAAAGCATTTGCAGAAATTGTCTCAAACGACATCAACGAAAGAGTTTCAAGCCTCATTGTTAAAACTCTTCATCTTGCACCAGCTGATTGTAAATACCTCAAAGAAAAGATTTGTCAGCTGAAGTGTAGAATCGACCCTGCTGAGTTGAGAATTTGAAGAACAACAAAGATTCAAAAGAACACTAACATAAACCATCCCTTCTTCTACATCCCCTCATATTTCAAAGAAGTACTTCTAATTGGAGATAAATGTGAGGTAAATAAAGCTGAAGAGGAAATCTACAAATTCCTTCGAGAGGAGAAGCCTGACGACCAGGAGTCTTGCTCTCTCAGTATCCTAATCCCCTTCAACATTGACCCTGAAGAGTATAATTCATATACAGAGAGTATCAGGAATAGATGTGGCATCGAGATTCAAACATATGAAGCTATTCCTCCAAGAAAACACTCTACTACAATCTTAATAGGCACTTGGGACAAAATTGTCAACGTAAAGAGAACCATGGTTGAATGGATAGAGAAACAGAGAAATATGCAAATGAGCAGATGGAATGAGTATGACAAGTTTGACAAAATGATCCTCAATCAGCAGATCAGGTTTACCTACAAAAGCCTTAAAAGATATATCATTGAGAAGCATGTAAAATATCTCAAACACTGGGACCTTACTAGCACTATTGTGCTTAGAGATGCTATCAAAGAGCCGGAAACTTTTACTAAAGAGAACAAAGCTTATTATGATATGGTCAAAGGAGAAACTGAAAGCTTAAAGTTCTTCATGAAGCAAGTCGACAACGAAACAGCTGTCAATATTTTATTTGCCTGCTCAAAAAATGAATTCAGCAAGATAATGGATAAGTTTAGTCTCAGGAAGAGAGAAATTATTGAGAAATGCTACAATCTTTTAGCAGATAACATGAGGGAATATAACTTCATGGATCAATACTCAAGACCCTACGACAATTATGGTCAAACCACATATCATGATAACTCGAGAAATAGGTATGATGATTCTAGAAACAGATTTTCTTATTCAAGAGGAGGTTACAATGACTACTCTAAGAGGAATTCCAACAACTGCTATAATGATAAATATTCTTATCACAACTATGATAATGAGAAGCCTGTTTATAGTGGGAGATTTAAAGACATGTTTAAAGATGCCTCTGCTCAAGAGACAACAGAGAACAAAACCACTGAAGTAAATGAGGCTATAAGCATCATTGAGAAACCAAGATCTCCCCAAACTTCTGAAGTGAAGAGATCGGCTTACAAGAGCGAATCCTCTGGTTTCTATACTCGTAGCAGAGACAGGTCTGAGAAGAGATCAAGATATCATTCTAGAGGTGACGACAGGCATAGCTACAGAGATTACAGAGATTACAAAGATTACAAGGACTATAAAGACTACCGCAGATCCAGTCATAGAAGTTCAAGACATAGAAGATCATCCAGCAGGAGGTCTTCAAGCAGATCTCACCATCGCCACAGAAGATATTAATAAATAATTAAAAGAAGTTAATTCCTAAAATCTCTAACCCAAAATACCACGTCGGGGTTTTGGGGTTTTGGGGTTTTGGGGTTTTGGGG